GCCCGTGGAAGATGAAACACGTACGAAACAAAAACTTCTAACTCTTGTAATCCAATCATTTGATTGAACAAATCTGCACTGCCAGTTGTTCCAAATACTTTAATTTTAACAGTTTTTTCTAGCTTGTCTTCATTACTTCACATCCTTGTTTTTACTGCCTTCTCATGCCTTTTTATACATTTTTTTCAAGTGTTTTTTTCCTTTTTCACATTCGTTTCATTTTATTTGCCTCATTTTTGCCCTTTTTTTAATGTGTCCTATTTGAGCTGTTACTATTTCATTTTAGCTGTTATTGTTGGTGGTGTTGATATGGTAACTCAGGCGTTAGCCCTCTCAAAACGTCCGCACATCATTGTTGGTAAGTTCTAAGTTTTCAGCTTTCACTAAATTACTTTTTCATTATTTACTTCGAATATACGCAACTCCCAATTCGCCAGATTAGGATTTTTGGAGGTTTTTTTTAGCATGTTTTGAATTAAAAAATTATTTCAGCAACACCAGGACGTCTGGTAGACCATTTGGAAAATACGAAAGGTTTTAATCTACGAGCACTGAAGTATTTGGTAATGGATGAAGCGGATCGAATTTTGAATATGGATTTTGAAGTGGAACTGGAGAAAATATTGAAAGTTATACCAAGGGAACGACGAACATACCTATATTCGGCTACCATGACCAAAAAGGTTTGTTTCCAGAAGTTAAAGATTTATCGGATGCTGAAAATCTAATTTTAAAAAGTTTGGAAAATCCTGGGATTTATAAAAAAATTTTTTTTTGCGTTGAAATCTTGATTTTTACGAAAATCAGTTGATGCATAGTAAAACATATTTTGCCTCTACATGACTTTATTGATTAATATTGGAAGTTTTAGTTGTTTTTTGAGGTTTTTTTTTCTCATTATTTTTCAAGGTAGCAAAATTGGAACGAGCTTCACTCAAAGATCCAGTGAGGATTGAAGTGAATTCGAAATATCAAACTGTTGAAAAACTCAAGCAATATTACATATTTATACCTCACAAATATAAAGTAAGTATTTCGGATGGTTTTTTTTTTTTTTTTTTTAAATAAGTAACAATGCTTCTGCTTTTTTTCCGGTTTATGAAGAGTGAAACAAGTGCGTTCAGAATTTCAAAAGTTAGCTTGAACGGAATGCAGTTTGCCTCATTTGGCTGATCTTTTACTACTTTCATCACTGACGAACGCGGGATGGTGAAATGGGGGGGGGGGGGG